TGGGTGTCATATTTCAACGGAAATATCCATTTTTGACGATTACAGAATCCATGTGAATTATTTATTTGGATGACGTCTGTACGTACAAACACAATTTTTTTTTTTTTTTTTTCCAGAAACGGATTGTTAAATGTAATCCCATTTACTCTAAGATGATACTTATGACAAATGATTATGACTCTAAGTTGATACTTGAAAGGGATTTTTTCGTGATGTGTAAGTACGCATGCATTTCGCATAACTCAAAAACGATTAGTTCTAGAACGCTGAAATTTTGTATATGGGCCCGTTATAACATCTAGATGTGCACCTCTCTTTTTTATTGCAATCGGTAATACTACAAAACGTAAATATGTATATTTTAAAGAAATTATAATTAAATGTAAAGTACATATATATATATCCTTATAATTAAATGTAAAGTACTCACCCATATATATAAATATAAAATAAAAGCCAAATAAGGCGAAAATAAAAGCCTTGGTTTTTATTTTATTTATTTATCACTAAGTAAGTTACTTGGCTTTTATTATTTTACCAGAGTATAGATAGAAATTTGGTTATGTAGCCTATTCTTCTAAAACGACGTTTCGTCGCTGCCTTCCCCCACCAATTCCCTTTTTTTTTTCGGTTTCGGATTAATTGGTTACGGCAATGCACACTAGGGCTATTGCCTAAGGGAAGGGATGCCTTCGTGGAGGACTTTTTAAAGGACTGGCTCATATGCAAGTTACACATGGGGAAAGCCACGAAAACGTCCGTGCAGCCAGCCGTTAGCCGGGAATTGAACCCCGGAACGAACTATTAGTCTTCAGCGACTTTCGTCTCCACCTGATTATGGACACCTGTAAGCCCGACCGCTCGTGGGCTCTCGCTGTTTGCAAAATAGGTGTTCACTTTACGATAAAGCAAGCACCTGTTTTCTTCAATTAAAACAGGTTAGACGATATGACTCTTACTACTTCATTCTCACTTAGCTTTTGATTTCTAATATTGATTCAATATTTTCTGTAGATATTCTGATTAGAATAATGGATTTCAAACATGTGCAAAAGGTGTGTATCTGAATATAATTAGGTTTTTATAACATAGGGCCCATTTTCTTAATTTCTAAAACAATATTATCGCTGTTTAGAACCACATTATCGCTGTTTTGAAAGAAAGCAAAAATGTGACAAATGTATAATGAACATTAATATACATGCTTTACTAGAAATTCACCCTTTCGTCATTAGCGGTTATGATGAAAGGAATGGGGAGAAGCAGCTACGAATAAAGGACAAATAACGAAATCTAATCTTTAATGCCCTCTTCCAGTTTCTTTAGCCCACCAGTGGTCGAGCGGTAACGTCGTTGAATACTGGTAGTTCGGTCTGAGGTTCGAATCCAGCGAACGGCCTGGCTGCATGGGTGTTTTTGTGGTTTTCCCATGTGTAAAGTGTATACCAGCCATTTCCCTTACAAAGTCCTCCACGAAGGCATCCCCCCTTTAGGCAGATAGCCCTAGTGTGCTTTGCCATAATTAAATACACCAACACCAACCCAGTTTCTTTATTTGTATTTGGGAAAGTTTTATTGTCATTATGAAAAGTGAAATTTGATATGGATACCGCATAACTTTTTAAATTATGCTTATTTTTGCTGCACTTCATTTAAACTTATTTCCTCGAATTATTCTAACTTAATTAAGCGATACCCGAAGGCAAGTTACAAATGGCATCAAACACTGCAAATTTTGAAATTAAATTTCCCGGTCAATCTCTGTCTACGGGACTCAAACTTCTTGTATTTTTATTTTTTCATAACGAGTATAAAAAACTTTGCCAGCTATAAATATAGGAACCAGAAGACAACATTAAAAGTTAGATTTCATAATTTGTCCAAAATTAATTCTTTTTAAAATTTGACATTGACAAAATATGAATATTTTCGTCATTTAAAATACTTCTGTATTTTTGTTGCACCGTATTTAAACTTGCTTCTTCGAGTTATTGACATTAAATTACATTAATTCCGTTATCTATTAGAAAATAATTATAGCAAATCATCTAATTACGACATCACTAAGAGGTCACTTTCTAAGAGATCTGTATTTTTGAGAACATAAACAAACACTGGTAGTGAACATCACGTTCGTCTTATTATTATAAAGTAAACACCTATTTTTCAAACAGCGGATAAAACGGGAAAGAGGGAATTGGTGGGGGAAGGCAGCGAACGAAATGACACTTTTTGAGGCTCGGATGAAATGAGAAAGGACGAAAAGGTACTAAGCCAATATGACAAGGTCTGGTTTTTTACTTTATAATTTAACTGTTCATCATAAATTTAAGAATTATTTTAATTTTTATTTGTCTTTACATTTTTGTTAAATTTTACTTATAAGTATTTTATATTTCAGTTGCTAATTATTATGTTACTTTAATTATTCATTAATTTAATCACTTTTTTTTATTATTTTAATTATTAAGTTTTTTACTAGGTAATTTTTTTATTATTTTAATTACTAATTAATGTTATTATTGTAATATTTATTTTATTTATTTTTATTTATTTTTTATTTTCCCTATTTTCCTGACAGCCTTCTGTAGGCGTTTCTGACTTTTGTGACACCACAAAAAGAGGTGAATTATTTCCATCCAAAAATACGACGTAAAACTCCCTATCTCGCATAGGGCCGTATACCGATAAAATAGGCTCAGGATACGAATACCGATGGATTTTACCGAAATTAACGAGTAACGATACGATAGTAACGAGTACTTGTTCACCGAGTAACGAATACATACGGGTACACAATTTCTCGTTACTTCTACAGCACTATTGATCACTTTCGAATTTGAAGCACATTTTAAAGGCTATTTATAGGTCATTGCGATTACAGCGCCATCTGTTAACGATTTTCATAACTAAATTTTATAAACTTTTGTACACCATTTTTACAGTTTTGCTTATAAACATACAGTTTACTGCATAATTCTATTGGTCTTTGTTGTAGAGATATTTAATTTTGAAATCAGGGCTTATTCGCTGATCACCCTGTATATTTGTACAGATGTGAGTATAAGTTAGACAATAACTTTGAAAATATCTGTTATTTCATTAAATTAGAAGAGAAACACGCCAATGAAAAATTTATAGTTAGGTCAAAAAAGCTCTAAAAATATAAATTTAAATCTTAGATTAGATTAAATTTTGAATAAAACCATCGATTTCAAGCGCAATGAAACACTTCTTTCAGAAAGAAAATGGAATATATATTCAAAACTATGTCAGCAATGAAACACTTCTTTATGTGCAGAAAGAAAATGGAATATATATTCAAAACTATGCCAATCTGAGTTTTTTTCCCCTCTTTTGGCCTAACTTTTCGGGCTAAAAATATTTAAAATAGCCTATCTATAGAATTTCCGATAGATAGTTCACGCGCTGGAGATAAAAATGTTTAATTTTTAAGTTTGGTATCTTTCCTGGACTTCTTATTTTCACCTAGCATTTTCTCGCCAGGATGCAAAGTGAGGAGAGTATAAAAACAGACGAAACTAGTAGCGTCATTTTGCTAGCCAGCGCGCGTTACTATTTTGTCCTCGCTGTTGTTACGTTGAGTTGCTGATACGGCTTTTTGACAATTTAATAAGTAAATCACTGGATAAGTTGCTGAGTCAGGCTAGTTAGCCTTATACTAAATTCTAAGTCCAGCTATTTACCTTTGAGTTCATGGTTAAATAACTCTTACGTACCACCGCAAGTCATCGGTGTCTAGTAAGATCATTTTACTTTATGATAGTGAAAATAACAAGATTTTACATTATAATTACAACTTATTCGCATTATAATGTTTCCACTTCTAATTCAGATCCAGTTACTGTTTATTTTATTACTAAAGCAGTTATTGATCAAACCATCGTATGATAGTATCTGATACTTAATTTCAGAAAATTAAAGAACATACAGTATTATAAAAGAAATAAAATTTTAAAAAAGCGAAAAAGGAATGAGTTTTAAAGTGAGTTAGAACATCAGTTCTGAATTCTGGCCACTGCCGCTCAAAAAATATAAATATTGCCTTTGCTAATTTTCTTTCCGATATTTCTCAAACAGCCAAGAATTGGATATTATAAATAAATAAATATAATGTTATACAGTTTGACTTGTTTTGGTAGCAAGCTAGTATCAAACTCGTAACAGACTTGGAGCGAATTACCGCCTGGTCCGATTCAACAACAGAGTCCTGAAAAAGTTTAAAGCAACGTCTCGTACTTACAAATCAGCTATCACTTGCGGTGATGTAACTTAAAGAAACAAAGAATTACAAAAAGTCAAATTGTCTAATAGTGAGAGGCTAGACAATTCATTTACGCGAAGCTGGCTCAAAAACCTCTTACCGGCATCACAATTTAAATGTCGGCAGCAAAAACGCAAAGCCTAAGAATTAAATCTTATCAGACCTGGCAAACCTAATAATGTGGCCTCGAGAGGCAGAAACACGATTTATCTTACAATCCGAAACCCTCGACTTAAATACTCTTAAAAAGATTTGCATTCTGATGAGGAAACAAAAAGGTGAAATGACAGTAAAGCTGCAACTGTAAATAACAGGTTAATTAAAATAATAATGACCATAAAATGTAAAGATAAAAGTTTAACTGTAGGGCGCTGAGATAACATTTATCTAAATAAGAGATTTTTAATTTTTATTACTTTATGGCAAATTAATGAAGTAATTTTTAATTTATTGCAAAAATATTTCAAATGCTCAATCTAGTTATAAATTCAAGTACGGCTTTGTACATCAAATTTATTCAACTTAATTTTCTAACACTAAACCTATCCAAGGAGAATGAAGATTGCTTATTAATATTTGAGACAAATACCATAATACTCCTTGACAGCACTATGACTTCAGTAAATTGATTATGCAGTCAAGTAATTTTATTTAATTCAAGTAATTATTTTCAAGTAATTTAAGTCAAGTAATTATTTTAATTAATTTTATTTAGATATAAAAATGTAAGCTTATGCAATTACAAAGATATAAATATAAAAAAATACTGTATTAGAAAAAGACTGAAAATTGAAGATCTAAATACATATATAAAAAAAATTACTAGTTTACTTTAAAAAATAGTCCAGATTATTCATTAAACAGAACGTGAACATACATCAGGAAATACAGGCATTGAAAACATAATTCCATTTTTAAAGAAATACAAATGAAAAATAATGTAGAAAATGAGAGAAACATTATAACAACAAAAAATTAAAAGAACAAACAGTAATTTAAACTAGATTTGTATAAAAAAATTGTCAGGAAAAATATATAATGATACAATAATTATGAGTGAAATACTTTAAAATTGGGGGGAAAATATACACATGAAGCAAAGCAGATTATTCATTCATCTGGCATTCTTCCATCTATAAAAAGTGTTCTTAATACAGCATGCTTTCTCAAAATGCCTTTCAATATCTTGATTGATAGTTCAGAACCATAGGCAGTAACACAAACTTTTTTAGTTTGCCGAATTTCTCGCATTGTTACATCCTCTACACCTGAATATTTTATCAGAGCATCTTGTGCCTTTTGTAACGTTTGTGCATCAATAGGCACTTTAGGGAATATTTTACTTTCTATCTGTATTGGATTCATCTCCATTTTTTCTTCAATATTATTTCTCTCCACATTTAAGCAATGAAATTCACCTGACAAAGCAAACCTGTGGTATGCAACTACAGCTGATTTAGCCAGCTTACTGTATTTATACACCGAAAAAGGAATCACGCTGGATATTTCATTTTTATTATAGAAACGTAAAGTTGTGCAAAATCTAAGAAATTCCAAAACGAGAGATGCTGGCGAGAAGACTTTTTTCTCTGTGGAAGACGTCTGTTTCCCTTTTTTAAAAACATAATGAGCAAGTTCAGCAACATGAAGAAAAAGTCTGATTAAAGTATTCGGATACAGAAATCCTGTGTGGCTGTAACCCGATCTGTCAATTATCTGCTCATCTTGGGCCCACAGAATCAATACTCTGCTTGCAAGCTTTACTGTTACGGGATCACACAAAAATTCATATTCTAACCAAATATCTGTTTCTATAGGGTGGGGTAGAATATTTTCAGCTTCACACAGTTTTATCTGTTCATCCATATTAGCAATGAGAGGTGAAACAGGCAGCGGATTAAAAGATGAATTTTTAATTTTTATGTTAGATAAATATGTAGAAACGGTCCAAGGAAAGCTAAGAAATTTAGTACCACTGTCACTATACGTGACTATGTACCACGCGGAAGCCTTTTGTAGTATATACTCTTGAGCGCTATTTATATCTGTAGTATCTTTGAATTCATCTAAAAATTCTTCAAGCATACTCTTTGACAATCTTTTGATACAACCTATAATAACCTTTTCCACTTCAGCTCTATCTTTCCGTTCTTGAAATCGACAATGAAGTTTCGTGAAAGCTCCAGAAAAGGCTTCAGCTTCATGCTGAATACCATAGTTCCTTAAGACTGCGCGAAGCAAGGCATTGTATTTATTTCTACTTTTCAAAGCATCTTCTTTATATTTTTCCCATCCTGGATATATCAAATACGGATCCACCTGCAATGAAAAAAAATTTTTAACTTAATCGTTAAAGCGTTAATCCTTTAATACATAGAATTAGATATGTAATGAATTATGCGCTGAAGAAACACGCAGTTTATTTATCATCAAAAACGCAGATTACTGGTGATAAGCAAATATTAAACCAGAATGAAAATTTCTTACCTTATTAATGGATAATCTACAGTGCGATTCGTAAGAAACATTCATAAAACGGAGAAACATATTATTACGAATTTTCTACATAGGTAGGTAATTTTAGTGCAATTATATGTGTAATTACTGTATTTTTCTGTGGAATGTAACGTGAAAAATCGAGAGAAAGAGAAGCCATGCCGGAAAAGTAAGAAAAGAAAGTTTAACATTGAGTACATGTATATCTCGGTAATTTTGCGAAATATTGCCAAGCTGGCAACGGTTTGGTAAGTAACATTTGTCGCCAAATTTGGCAAGAAATTATCAAAAGTCGCCAAGCTTGGAGACCATTTAGCGACATTTTGGTCCTTTCCCTGTAACATAGTTTTAGGTATTGTAATTGAATAAATGTTGATCACTGTATTAGCTGTAACCGTTATTCGACTCTCACATTGCTTTCCAGTAATTTACAGAAGTAGAAAATACTAGCAAAATTTCGGTGGCCATGTGAAACCTATATAAGACTGGAAGGAGCATCTGCTCTTAGTCGTTGCTGTTAGCTGTTAGCTCGGGATGAATTCAAAGTACTGAGATATCTCCGAGTAGCTTTCTCTTTAGCTGCGCTTTTCATTGTGTTGTGTTTAGCGTTTCTAGTAGCTGCAAATGTAACTACTGATTGTACTCTATGATATTATGAAGAGTTCTAAAAATATGTAGAAAGTTCAAGTGAAGTGTTTTATTTGATAAAATAAATCCTATCAACCATATCGGAGCTGCGTGCATTCAGTCTATTACCAACCTTTACGCACGCAATACTTTTCGGGGTCTGTAGTGGGATTGAATATCTGTGACAAGAGCGATGGATTAGGAACTAAGACAGTTGGTGACTGCCTTAGCTACATTCCAAGAAAAGATGGAAAGCGCCGTCATTTCCCATCACAGAAGAGATGAAATTGGACCAAGAAGAGAGGAAAACTAGCCAAGAAACTGTTAAAGTAAAGATGAAGGCTATTAAAAATTCCGTTAAAGACGAGATGTAAGCTGTTCGAGAAAAGATTGATGCAGGTCAAGCGAGAACGAAAAGAGAAATTACCTGTATAATAGAAAACAAATTCGAAGTTATGGAAGACAAAAATAGACGCGGCTGAAGACAAAGTTGGAGAAATTCAGGAAAGAGTGTCTGCCGTGGATAAAAAAGTCCAAGAAAAGGTTTTTGCCATCGAACGACAAACTGATGACAGGGTTTCTGCGTCGCCAAAGAAGCTGATACCCTAAAGAAATTCGTAGGAGCGGCAGGGAGCAATTCTGATGGTTTTAAAACTTTACCCTTGCCTGCTCATCCTTCTCTAAAGCTATGCACATACGACGGTAAGTTCTCCTGCCAAGTGTATAAGACGTATTTATACAGTGACGGACGCGAATGGATGGAATTCTAAAGCTACGGCATGCCATCTTGCTCCTTCCCTGACAGGAGACGCAGTGGGTATTCCTCAAACTCTATCCGAAAACCACAGGCTAGACTTCGAAGCTGTATCCGCGCCTTGAGCTGCGCTGTGTGGAGAAATATTTAAAACACTATGTAGAGTCATTAGGATTATTTGGAAGCAGACGAGATGAAAAATTAGCAACTGCATTCGCCGGGAATCGAATCACGGATTTCTGGAATACCAGCCCAGCGTGCTACCGTTACACCACGAAGGCACGCTAGGGAAGTGGGAGAAATACCTTATATACTCCCCTTTTTAAAGAGCGACTAGGGTTTTACGGGACCTAGTCGCCAAATCCTGGGTGCGGAGAATCATCATCCATAACCCTTTTAGTTCGGGCGCCACTTGTACAGTCATTAGGTTGATTGGAAGCCCAGCGTGCTACCGTTACACCACGAAGGCACGCTAGGGAAGTGGGAGAAATACCTTATGACTATAGCAGGCTTCAATTAAAATCTCGTTAACAGAAGCGCACAGAAACACAACAGAAGCCCGTATGATCTCCGAAAATGCTACAGAAACAAGGAGAATCCTGTCCCTGCAGTAGTTCATTCGATGGCATCCGTGATCTTGAAATACAGAAAGACCTGCGAATGGCGGATGTGAAGGATTTAAAAAGCGCTTTCGTGTACGCTATAAATTTTGAGGCAGCCCAGCAAGCAGTTCTTAAAGACCGCGACCCAATCAGAGCTGCTCAAGTCCAAGAGACATTGGATCAACTGACTGCTCGTCTAGACGATTTAGCCCAGAAGTAAATGCCTTCACACGAAGCAGAAGTGATAACAAACCAAATCTAGAAGTACTGAAACTGATGGCACGTACGAAGGAATTGCAGAACACCCGAAGACACGGAAACTAAGACAACTTCCCAACAACGATACAGAAAAAAATTAGTTGCCATCTCACGGAGCGGCGGTTGAAAGATAATCAGAAGACCCATAGCAAAGCGCTTCAGATTTCTGCAATGAGTTGTGACAATTATGAACTTTTCATCATGGAGCTCCTTGTAAAACGACCTTCGATACAGAAGCCAAATTTACCAGCATTCAAAAAGATATGGCTCAACAACTAGAAGGTAAAACTAATCTGGTAAAACTATCCTCCGAACTATGTCGATAAGATAGAGAGCTACGGAAAATTAAATATCAACATTACGTTTGGAAGTGCCGCTGCCATCATAAGCATATCTAGCAGATATTACAGCATAAGGCATATCTAGCAGATATTGCATACACGGATTGGAACTTCTAAGGAAATACAATTTTTCCTTATACTTTCCAATTAATGAACTGCATTCTGCCTCTGAGGACATAGCCCTATTCAGAATTAATGATGAAGGGGTTTGTCCAAAAAATTCATAGCTCAAGACGATAGCACAATACCAGCAAGAACAGAATTTCTACTTCCTGTATCTATAGCCGAAGGGCTATATCGGTTAGGATGGAATATCCCAAGAAATCTAACAACCCAGTGCTAGTGAGGCCACCGAGTTATCCCGGTGAGCATATTTCACAAGTGCACATCTATGTAACCACAGAGGGAGTGGCTTTTAGGATGGACCAATGGTCTTCCAGTAATATTTCTATCATGTCAAGTGATTTTTGGCGCGATTTAAGCAAAGTAGTTGAAAACATTTTGCCACACAATTTCCTGTACAAAATAATTAAAGCATAGTAGATTTCTTCTGGAAACTTTCATTGCGAAGTTTGATCAAATATAAGCAATGGTGAAGATTTCGCTACCTGGTTGGAAGAATTTGAAAAAAAATACAAACACATGTTCGGATACTCCGCAAAACTTCGGCTGATCAAATCTCGGTTTCTGTTTTCAAGGAACTACATTTGTCAGCATTCTTCAGATCGTAAAGTATAGGTATGTACTTAAATTTACAAGTTCTTTAAAAGTTATGTAACATTTTGTATTTAAGTTATGTAACATTTTGTATTTAAGGGTAACTGACTGCAAAATCGTAACTGTAATTATCATTTAAAATTCATTTCAGTTACTACATTCAATTCAGATGAAAAAAGCAAATATTTCTATACATTTGAAATTAACATTATCTTACAATTTTTCAATACAATTGCATAAATTTATTGAAAGTAGAATAAAAAAACTCTCAATAAAATTATGCAAATGCATATTATTTTTATTATATCTATATTTTACATCGGCGTGAGGAAATAGTATTTAATACAGATTCATTTAATTATTCATGCTTAAATATGCTATTTAAAATACAGGGAGTTTTTAAATGAATATCGGAGTTTTAGTGTTTTGTAGTGTTTTTTACGTAAAACTTAAGAGCAAGTCAAACAGTTATACCTACAAGCTTACAAGTGTTCAATGTGAGCACCTTTCATCACACGGCACACATCAAGTCGATAGACCAGTTCTTCCCAAACTTTGATTAGTGTTTGTGGTATAATTTTTGCAACAGTTGCCTCAGTCCTGTATACGTCGGGTAGGTCAGCTGGTAGTGGAGGCACATACACACGATCTATTATGAACTAACTCACACGATCACAGTCTTGTCACTAACCCTTGGTCGTCCCGTACTCTTCCCTTTGTAAAGACAGCCGGTATTTTCAAACTGATGATACCATCCACGGATGTTTTCATCACTTGGGGTATCACATCTGAACTTAAACCTGATATCTGTAGGTACAGTATCAGCACACGTAACACAGATTTCCATGACAATGACCGTTGTTCAGTTAACGTTTATATAAAAGATATATAAGCTGACTTTGTAAGATACTTTTTTCTCCTTAACTCGTGCTTTCGTGATGTAACCGGAAAGATTCGCCTGGCAATCTGAAGCTCAGGAGTTCGAATCCTGATGCATATTTTTCTGCATATAGATTGAAATAAGGATAAAAACATCTAATGATTTTCAAGTGGCGCTCGAATTAAATGTGGTGGAAGATTATTCTTTACCACTTGTATTTAGAGATTCGGTACCATCCTTCTCAGTCACCGTTTAAGTGGGGGAGAATGTCCTCCTCAGTCACCGTTTAAGTGGGGGAGAATGTAAGGTATTTTCTGCCTGCATACCGAGTGCGTTCGTGCTGTAATTGAAAAGTGTCTCTGTCTGGCAATGGGCAAGTTCAGAGTTTGTAACCCGGAGACGAGAGTGAGCATTTTTTATGTCTCTTGCTCTGAAATAGGGAAAGGGAGGACTTTACCCTCTCGTGCCGATTGTCACGCATGCATGCCAGCAAGAAACGCACTCATTTTCCGGTCGGCATGCTGACGTGTCAGAGCGTTTTCTCGTTCACCCTCGGCAGTCACATATTCGTGCCAGTGTCCTGGAACGTTTTAAAGATCAATAGATGGAATCTTCTGTCTATTATTTTTGAACTAAATATAGTT